ATCCAAATTCCACGGTTCATTAATTAATACAAGCTCCAAAAATATTATGTACCCCACCATAAATTATATGTACGATGCATCCAAATTCCACGGTTCATTAATTAATACAAGCTCCAAAAATATTATGTACCCCACCATAAATTATATGTACGATGCATCCAAATTCCACGGTTCATTAATTAATACAAGCTCCAAAAATATTATGTACCCCACCATAAATTATATGTACGATGCATCCAAATTCCACGGTTCATTAATTAATACAAGCTCCAAAAATATTATGTACCCCACCATAAATTATATGTACGATGCATCCAAATTCCACGGTTCATTAATTAATACAAGCTCCAAAAATATTATGTACCCCACCATAAATTATATGTACGATGCATCCAAATTCCACGGTTCATTAATTAATACAAGCTCCAAAAATATTATGTACCCCACCATAAATTATATGTACGATGCATCCAAATTCCACGGTTCATTAATTAATACAAGCTCCAAAAATATTATGTACCCCACCATAAATTATATGTACGATGCATCCAAATTCCACGGTTCATTAATTAATACAAGCTCCAAAAATATTATGTACCCCACCATAAATTATATGTACGATGCATCCAAATTCCACGGTTCATTAATTAATACAAGCTCCAAAAATATTATGTACCCCACCATAAATTATATGTACGATGCATCCAAATTCCACGGTTCATTAATTAATACAAGCTCCAAAAATATTATGTACCCCACCATAAATTATATGTACGATGCATCCAAATTCCACGGTTCATTAATTAATACAAGCTCCAAAAATATTATGTACCCCACCATAAATTATATGTACGATGCATCCAAATTCCACGGTTCATTAATTAATACAAGCTCCAAAAATATTATGTACCCCACCATAAATTATATGTACGATGCATCCAAATTCCACGGTTCATTAATTAATACAAGCTCCAAAAATATTATGTACCCCACCATAAATTATATGTACGATGCATCCAAATTCCACGGTTCATTAATTAATACAAGCTCCAAAAATATTATGTACCCCACCATAAATTATATGTACGATGCATCCAAATTCCACGGTTCATTAATTAATACAAGCTCCAAAAATATTATGTACCCCACCATAAATTATATGTACGATGCATCCAAATTCCACGGTTCATTAATTAATACAAGCTCCAAAAATATTATGTACCCCACCATAAATTATATGTACGATGCATCCAAATTCCACGGTTCATTAATTAATACAAGCTCCAAAAATATTATGTACCCCACCATAAATTATATGTACGATGCATCCAAATTCCACGGTTCATTAATTAATACAAGCTCCAAAAATATTATGTACCCCACCATAAATTATATGTACGATGCATCCAAATTCCACGGTTCATTAATTAATACAAGCTCCAAAAATATTATGTACCCCACCATAAATTATATGTACGATGCATCCAAATTCCACGGTTCATTAATTAATACAAGCTCCAAAAATATTATGTACCCCACCATAAATTATATGTACGATGCATCCAAATTCCACGGTTCATTAATTAATACAAGCTCCAAAAATATTATGTACCCCACCATAAATTATATGTACGATGCATCCAAATTCCACGGTTCATTAATTAATACAAGCTCCAAAAATATTATGTACCCCACCATAAATTATATGTACGATGCATCCAAATTCCACGGTTCATTAATTAATACAAGCTCCAAAAATATTATGTACCCCACCATAAATTATATGTACGATGCATCCAAATTCCACGGTTCATTAATTAATACAAGCTCCAAAAATATTATGTACCCCACCATAAATTATATGTACGATGCATCCAAATTCCACGGTTCATTAATTAATACAAGCTCCAAAAATATTATGTACCCCACCATAAATTATATGTACGATGCATCCAAATTCCACGGTTCATTAATTAATACAAGCTCCAAAAATATTATGTACCCCACCATAAATTATATGTACGATGCATCCAAATTCCACGGTTCATTAATTAATACAAGCTCCAAAAATATTATGTACCCCACCATAAATTATATGTACGATGCATCCAAATTCCACGGTTCATTAATTAATACAAGCTCCAAAAATATTATGTACCCCACCATAAATTATATGTACGATGCATCCAAATTCCACGGTTCATTAATTAATACAAGCTCCAAAAATATTATGTACCCCACCATAAATTATATGTACGATGCATCCAAATTCCACGGTTCATTAATTAATACAAGCTCCAAAAATATTATGTACCCCACCATAAATTATATGTACGATGCATCCAAATTCCACGGTTCATTAATTAATACAAGCTCCAAAAATATTATGTACCCCACCATAAATTATATGTACGATGCATCCAAATTCCACGGTTCATTAATTAATACAAGCTCCAAAAATATTATGTACCCCACCATAAATTATATGTACGATGCATCCAAATTCCACGGTTCATTAATTAATACAAGCTCCAAAAATATTATGTACCCCACCATAAATTATATGTACGATGCATCCAAATTCCACGGTTCATTAATTAATACAAGCTCCAAAAATATTATGTACCCCACCATAAATTATATGTACGATGCATCCAAATTCCACGGTTCATTAATTAATACAAGCTCCAAAAATACTTTGTACCCTGTCAAAAATTATATGTTCGATGCATCCATAGTCCACAGCAAAAAGTATAGGACGACAAAAAACTTCCCAACTTTCCCAGCTTGTGTATCTTCCGAGAAAAAAATAGAAGATCCACATGTCAATGCCAAAAGCCATCTACACAACAAAAATTACACCCATTAGTTCCATTGTAAACAAAAAGTTTTAGCCATCTACAAAACACAAATTGCAAGGATGTCAATTGTAATTGAAATTGTATTTAACTATAGTTTGAATTTAGGAATTTCAATATACTTTCTTTACACTTTAAATTGTATTGAAAGTGTACATTTAAAGTGCAAAGAAACTTCCCAAGTCAAGCATGAGCCCGAAGTCAAGTTTAGTCTAATGTGTGAATATATATGTATTTTATTCATAAATGTACATATATAGAGATACTTATACAACATATATTTTTGTAAACTTTAATATATGCCATCACAACTTCATCAAAAAGTGGTAGAAAAGAAAGGTTCAAAGCAAATGCTAACAATAGAAACAATTTAAATATTGCAATAGAAACTAGTCAACACTTGTGGTAAATGTCAAGTTTCTTATCTTTCAACTTCGAAAGTCAATATAAGCTTTAATATATTTTTTGTGTAGCTTTATAGCGTTTCTCACGCCAACGCCCCACGTACGCGTGCTAATTACATCCCGTTTGACCCCATAGGTCCTATTTCACATGACGAAGCTACTCGTGCCATCCCTACAGAGGTTCAGGGGCTGCTTTCATTTTCTGGCCCTCCAAGGCCTTTTTCGGCTAAGTTAATGGCCTTTTCCACGACAACTCCCAACGTACCCGTGCTAATTACGTCCCGTCTGTCCCCATAGGTCCTATTTGACACAACAAAGCTACCCGTGCCATTCCTACACTGGTTCGGGGGCTGCTTTCATTTTTCGGCCCTCAAAGGCCCTTTTTCGGCTAAGTTTATAACATTTTCTACGACAACTCCCAACGTACACGTGCTAATTATGTCCCGTCTTTCCCCACAGGTCCTATTTGACACAACGAAACTACCCGTGCCATCCCTACAGTGGTTCGGGGGTTGCTTTAATTTTTCGGCCCTTCAAGGCCTTTTTCGGCTAAGTTTATGGCCTTTTCCACAAAAATTCCCAACGTACCCGTGCTAATTAGGTCCCGTCTGTCCCCACAGGTCCTATTTGACACAACAAAGCTACCCGTGCCATCCCTACACTGGTTCGGAGGCTGGTTTCATTTTTCGGCCCTCCAAGGCCTTTTTCGGCTAAGTTTATGGCATTTTCCATGACAACTCCCAATGTACCCATGCTAATTACGTCCCGTCTGTCCCCATGGGTCCTATTTGACACAAGGAAGCTACCCGTGCCATCCCTACACTGGTTCGGGGGCTGGTTTCATTTTTCAGCGCTCCAAGGCCTTTTTCGGCTAAGTTTATGGCATTTTCCACGACAACTCCCAACGTACACATGCTAATTATGTCCCGTCTGTCCCCACAGGTCCTATTTGACACAAGGAAGCTACCCGTGCCATCCCTACACTAGTTCGGGGGCTGCTTTCATTTTTCGGCCCTCCAAGGCCTTTTTCGGCTAAGTTTATGGCCTTTTCCACGACAACTCCCAACGTACCCGTGCTAATTACGTCCCGTCTGTCCCCCCAAGTCCTATTTGACACAACGAAGCTACCCGTGCCATCCCTACACTGGTTCGGGGGCTGCTTTCATTTTTCGGCCCTCCAAGGCCTTTTTCGGCTAAGCTTATGGCCTTTTCCACGACAACTCCTAATGCACTTTAGACCAGTCATGATTCATTAATTTTTCGGGGTCTGTAACTCCTAATGCATTTTTCGGGGTCTGTCCCTATAAAGTCATGATTCAATGTCGATAACTCCTAATGCACAATGAGGGTTTCATTAATTTTTTTCACGTATTACCATCCTTTTTATGCAACAAATATTACAATTGTATTAGCATCCTTTTGATTACAACCCAAAATTGTTGTCCACTAACAGACCCCAAAGTTCCTCTCTCTCTCAAACTCATCACTATGAACCAATCATGGCTTTCATGCACTTTAGACCAGTCAAGTTGTACTAGTTATATTGTACTAAATCAAAATTCATTCCAATTTAATTGGCTGCTGCAATTAGTCTTAAATTTGAAATGACATTCAATTGGATATCACTGCTAATATAGTAACTGGCCTCATATTCATAGGCTCATCATATTTGCTTTTGGGGAACTTCATATTTCATTGAAATCATGTGGTTACCTTATGGAAATCAGATTACGGTCCTTTGTGTAATGTAGCAAAACACCACGTCGGCTGCTGCAAAGTCTACTCACTTTATGCCTCAAAACCTATTCGAAGCACATAACAAAAACAAAATTTGCATAGCAACTTTAGAAAAGAATTCTATGTGAATATGATCCATATTTTTTGTAGAAGTTGAACTAGCTTGTCAAACAAAATTTTGTTTATCGAATAGTAGGATGACCATCTGAACCCTCCAAGAGGGTTGAGAGCCTGGACACCACGTCGTTCAAATGATTGAGTTGTACTTGTTGTGCCTCCCGTGCTTTTTTTTCTTCATTGATTTGTTTGATCAGCTGCTCTTTTTCCCTCATAATTTCCTCCCGATCTTTTTGCCGCTCCTCTTTCTCCTTCAATAGCTCCTCCCGATCTCTTTGCCGCTCCTCTTTCTCCTTCAATAGGTCCTCCCGATCTCTTTGACGCTCCTCTTTCTCCTTCAGCAACTCATCGTGATCACTTTGATGCTGCTCACGAAGAACCTCCAATTCCGCTCTCATTGACTCCATATGTTTATCACGTGCTCGTGCCGCACTAGAAGCTGTGGAAGAGGGTTGTGGGCCTATCCCACATCCACGCAAGTAATTTTTTTTTTCCCCAAGCACTTGCCTTGATATTTCTTCGTGGGTCAATGGCAACCCCGCATCGGTGGCTGTTAGTTGTAGATTCACCATATCATCCTGTAATGGCAAGAAAACAATAAAGTCAAGATGGGAGAAGGAATTTAAAACAACTTTATTAATTGATATGCATCACACTTGGTTTCAACATTCAATACTCACATGTAGCTCACCATATTTGGGGTCAATCCAATCTCCCATCTTCTTGGACTTGTGTGCTTTCTTATAAAATTCGGGGAAATCTACATCTCCATCCTCATTTGCCTGTTACGTTTGGAAAATTGCCATTGACGAATTAATACATGGTAATATTCAGAATCAAGAAGAATCAGTCATCCATTACATTACTAAATTAACTTCTCACCATAAGCGACATTGCTATAGGAAATGATCGCGATCCAGTTGTATGATTATAGGGGAGCATAGCCCTATTTGCTTTACCAGCTCTTGAGCGTTTCTAAAAAAATAGGAACAAAAAATAAATAAATAAATAAAAGATTAGTGAACAATTTTTACATATTAAAACATAAATTAATTTCAATAATGGGGTTTCTAATTAATTTGTTACCAAGTGAGATTCGTCTTTCCAAGCAACATCAATCATATATTTCCAGTCCTCCAAGCTCACTCCACTAGGCGAATGACTATAGGGGTCATCAACACCCTTTTCCTCAAGTTCAAGGAACTCTTGCTTTAGATTGTACCTCCAATCCATGTATAGCTCACTCCACTAGGCGAATGACTATAGGGGTCATCAACACCCTTTTCCTCAAGTTCGAGGAACTCTTGCTTTAGATTGTACCTCCAATCCATGTATAGCAAATATGCCTTTCTATCGAGGATCTGTTGCGCTTGTTCATCATTATCAAAATCATCGCCGATAACAAACTTGTCCTACAAACATAATAAGAGAATTAGTACAACAATTAATTTATGCAATTACAAATAGGGCAATAAAGACATTATGGCAAGATGATTCTCATACTAGCACCGCTTGGATGACCTCATCTTTGGTAGGTTGATCAATTTTTCTCCATGACATCACGCTCTGAAGAGGGCACAACCGTCTGATTTGAAGGCCCAACTCATTCATCGCTGGGGTGGCATTCCCTCCTGTGATTGCATTCAACACCCGATTCACATAGACATGTAATTTCTCCCCCTTTCTCCTAGTAATTTTTTTCTGCACTCCTTTGCCTAATGTTGGTCCTCGTACATGAGTTGACCTCGTTTGCCCTGGTACAAAAGGGAAAGGAAGTCACAAATTACAAACATTGCTAATGAACTTCGAAAAAAAAGTGCTGGTTGTGGGTCCTGTTAGTTTTTTCGCTGCCTACTGTTGCTGCCAGCTACTCTTTCACTGCATAAAGTCAAACATAAATTATGCTACAACTTCGATTTCGAAGCTATCGATGCAGCTGGGGCAACATTCAATTGGCTATTGCTGCTGTTGTGGCTGATTTCAAGGTTCTTTAGCTAATATTTTATTTGTTGTGGAAGTGTCCTTGTTATGTGCAAAGTAACCTTTTGTTTTTTTTTTTTTCCTTTGTTTCTCTTTGTCTTTATGGGTTTTCATTGCCTTACTTGATGACTTATGCACTCAAATAAAATAAAATAAAAACATAATTTTTATCTTACTACTATGTTCAATGCTCTTACACACACTACAAGAATTAATACTTTTGGCAACAAAAAAATTGGTCGCTAAAAGTCTATTTTTGGTCGGCAAAAGTTATCCGCGACCAAATTTTTTGGTCGCTACTTTGGTCGCCAATTGAGGGTCGGCAAAAGTAATTCGCGACCAAAATTTTGGTTGGTCGGCAAAAGTCGGATTTGCCGACTAAATTTTTGGTCGCGAAATATATCATTACCGCGACTAATTCATTTAGTCGCTAAAACACTTTGGTCGCGAAAAGTGATATTTTCCCGACCAAAAAGTTTGGTCGCCAATTATCACATTCAACGACCAAAAAGTTTGGTCGCCAATTGTGACATTCCGCGACCAAAAATTTTGGTCGCCAATCGTGACATTCCGCGACCAAAAAGTTTGGTCGCCAATTGTGACATTCCGCGACCAAAAATTTTGGTCGCCAATCGTGACATTCCGCGACCAAAAAGTTTGGTCGCCAATTGTGACATTCCGTCATTTTTTGCGAAAAAAAATTATTTATTTGTCGCGACTAATAAATTGGTCGCCAAAGCAGGAAAACAATACACTTGTAATTCCTAATAATTTATTCAATCCATAATAAACCTATAATTTTAAAGCATCACTCAAATTAACTGAATCATTAACATTCGACACAATGCATAATTCATTAACATTCGATTTATTAAATTTCTGTCAAACAACCAGACATTGCTCCAATTCAAACTGAAACAACCAGACATCCCCACCATGGTGTTCCACCAGACATTGTTCGCACAAAATAATGACAATCAAAGAATCCAACAACACCTTTCTAAACTGTCAAACAACCTACTTCCAAAATTTCTTAAATTTCCCAAAACACTAGTGTACATTATATACATCCTATTTATAGAACTACATTCCAATTCAAACTGAAACACCCTAGTTTTAGCAAGAACAAAAAGAAACAATTCTACGAGTAAATAATATGTGGAAGCTTTGACTAAAACAAGAACTCTGTGTCAGAAACTTCAAGGACATTGTGGACGCCAATAGGGTTCACACCTGGTCGGAAAGCATTTCCTTCAATATACCTGTGACAACATTTAATCAATTAGCATTTCACCTAGTGTTGGGTAATTGCAATTTGCTTGTACTGATTGAAGACAGAAACTCACATTTCTTTCAAGAAAGTGTGCTTATAGAATGCATCAGGGATTCTCCCAGTAAATTGATTGTGATCCAGGTAGCTGCAATGATGTAAACGCTATGTTGTGTTTATGTAGTGTGCTTATAGATGTAAACGCTGGTTACGGAGTTACTGTGTTGTGTTTATGAATCGGGCTACTTTCAAATTGCATTATTAACAATTTTGGCAAAATCAATAGCTAACTCCATACTTTGTTTTGCAAAATAAGGATAAAAAGAGACATGGCATGGTTGAGTGATCAAATGAAGTAGGATAGATTTATTGAAACTAAAGAATCAAAGAATTACTTCAAACCAATAAAAGAATCAAAAGAAAATTTTCCAAATTATGAGGGAACACTTCAAAACAATATCTTCAGGAAGTAGATAACCAAAACCACATTGATGTGGCTGTACTTGTGAAATTAGAAACCAGTGTTTGTAGAGACTTGAGAGCCTGACACCATTTTGTGCATCCGAAATCATACCCATGTCATGATCTGTAACTCAATTCAACTAATCTTAAAGGAGGACGACCCAATGCACGAAGTTTCCACTAAAGTAGGGTCTGGGAAGCATAAGATGTAAGCAGCCTTACCCCCACTGGGGACGCTAACAGCAATTCTTATCATGGGGGCAAGCCTCTCTTTGAATTGAACACTAGACATATGGTTTGAACACTAGACATATGTTTTGTTCATCATGTATAAAAGCACAAAGGGCACTAACATGATTGCCAACAACACGGCCTAACCCTAGCCTTGCCATTAACGAAGTCGACTTTCCCAATCAGTGATACCTACAGTACTACCGGATGCTTCCCTCATCATAAAACCAACATGAAATGCAATGGCAATGATGGTAATTAATACAAGCTATGATAGAAGCCATTGTAACACCTAGTTTGCCCAGACCACAGATCATGCTGCTTTTTCCACCATAACACTACAATACTGCCACATAGTTCATTCATTATGTCATCATCACCATTTTATTGCTTCTTGTGCTGTCACCTGCCAGGACACCAGACTACCAATTGTTGTTGATGGGTTCAAAACGAAAGTATTCTCAAAATTAAGCCACAATTCAATGAGTCAACCCCGTTTGTGGAATCACCTACTGGGGGTGACTTTCCTGTTCCAAAACCGTGATTTTGTGGTCAAGAGAAAAAACTGAATCATTATCACATTTCTTGTCAAGATAGAATCACAATTCCAACTATAATGGAACCACTCTAAAGGAACCAACCATCAAAACATGATTCTTTGGACAAAAGACACAGAAATCGAAAGAACAATTGTCCATGATGATCAAAAGCAACCTCATATGGGAATGAATGTTAAGAAACAACTTAATATATTCATTATGTTTCTTGAACCAATAAAGTCAAAATAGGCAACTATAGGAATGTGTGTGATCTCAGATAAAGAATGTCCGACACAGTGTAGCCAACCGAAATTCAATAAATGGACTTAGTGGAGAGTTGTTACCTGGAAGGAAGGCAGCAACCTGACGCCGTTGTGCCCAAGAAAAGCTGCATAGATCATTGAGACTAATTAACAAATCCAATATATATATCAATTCATATCACACAAGTACTTTATAATCAACTAAGAATCATTGATATGACACCATACGGACATGCTAATGAAATAGTTTCCAAAAGAATCAGGACAGGTATTACGCAAATTTCACTTTTCCATAACAAATAAATTTATATCCAATAATTCCTTATATGCTTTTATAAATTGGAAAAGAAATGGAGATACAAAGTTCATTAGGTTTAGAAGTTCCAAGTATTCATAGATAAGGTGGGAGCCAAAAGTTCCACAGGTTTAGGCTTTAAAATATTAAAATCCCAATGGCAGGATTAAAATGTACAAATTCATACTTCTTTTTGCTTTCTTTTTTTATTTTATTTAAAATTATGCCAAGACCCTAGAAGTGGCTTACACGTGTTCAACTAGTAAACATGTGTCCAAGGTATAAAAAAACATAAAAGATGGCTAACATAATTAAGTGAGCACTCACACTGCTCCTCTAGCAGCTGGACCAACAGCTTTAAAAAGTGACATTGCAGTCATAGCTATGCCATTTGTTGCTCCTCTTTGGTCTTGGTCCTATTGTTATAGTATCAGGTATTCAAGAAACCAAATAAAAGACATTAGATGGGTAGAGGGAAAAATAATCAAAAGACAATCAGTAAAACTCAGAGGAGAAGAAAAATTACCACGGCATTGTTCTGCAGTATGAACGTGCTAGTAATAATAGTTATCTGGTGAAAGTGAAAAGTTGTGAGATAAATATTTAATTATTGAAAAGAGAAGATGGGATAGTATTTCTAAAACTAAGACTATAAAGCTCACTGAAAGAAATATGCTCCTCATAGGTTGACGACAAGATCATGTGCTAACATGATGAGCATGGTGTGCAACATTTTGATAACTTATGTGTCAACTTATAATGATCTTTTCAGATTCATGGAAGTTAAGAACATTACCTTGAATTATTAGCATTAAATCATTTACATCTACAAATACATCTATCACAATTTTTCCCTTTCCAATCCCATATTTTCAAAACATGGATGATTGATGAGCATTAGCAATTCCCCCAAAAACCCATTTCACAACCTTCCCATCCCACATAAGAAGCACAAACACGGACAAATGACATGACATAGACACGCCAACATGACAATTTTCAAAAAACACAGGGCACAACATGTGAGGGACACATGCAAAATATATAATTAATATATTTATGATATATATTTCATTCAAAGATAACAAAAATTTACAGCATAACACTAATTTTTATAGTTTTTTGAGGGATTAATAGATATAAAACTATATTGTTTTCCTTTCTTATCATAGAATTCGAAGTTTTTTTGTTCAAACTTGTGTGTATCTAAGAGATAGGCACGTGTGTGCCCTAAATGTCCCAAACATGTCTGCGTCTACGAAACTTTAAAAATAATAGGACGCATTTGGGCATGTGTCGGACACATGTCGGGAAGTGTTCTTCGAGTATTGTTGTCCGACACGGACGCACCACCTTCTTATAATTGTCCGTGCTTCTCAGCTTCGTATAAATACTAACAACAAATCAAAATTGCTATAATACTTAGAAAGGTTAAGACAGAATTTGCAAGGTTTGAATGGACTTACAGATAATATATTCTTTGCTATGGAAGCTGAAAAATCTAGAAATCCCCTAGATGTTGATTTATGATTATGTATCAATTTAAAGCAGAATATAACAATCCCAATCAAACAATCAAACAAACAAGATAAAGAGACACAACGATTTAACGTGGAAAAAACCACAATTGGTCACCTCCAACTGTGATCAAAAAACCACGGGCAACAGCCACAAGAACAATCCACTAAGAAGAATTAAAGGAATTACACAGGTATACTCTCAATTACCTAGCGAATCCACAACGCCTAATTGAACCAACCTCTATGTGCCTCTTCCAACCCCATCTTCACCACGGAATTGTCTTTCTGATGAGCCACTCCGGATTCCACCAAAGCTTCAGGCACGAATTCTTCAGAATCCACAACTGAAGAACAACACTCTCTTTTGTAGAACAAAACACAACCTTTGATGTACTCTCTTTAGAACATGAGTTGAAGACTCAATCAAAACATCAAAGAAAAACTAGCAAAATCTCTCCAGATATAAACCTTAAGATCCAAAAATAAGATCTGGAGAAGTTTTTTTTTAGTGTTGAGAGAAAACCAACTATTTATAGAAAACCAAAGCAATCCTAATTTCAGAAGAAAACCAACTCTTTAACAAAATCTGGAAATCTGGGATCGCGCGGTCCGCTCGAGCTCAACACAGCCCGCTCGAGCGGACTGACCAAAAACTGCGTGCGAACAAACTGAGATGCGCTCGAGCGTATGAGAATCCGCTCGAGCGTAAAATCACACCTTCCAGTATTTTTTGCTCGGCAGGCGACTGCAGAGATGCTGAGAGCTTCCAATCCAACGCTCGAGCCGCCCGCTGTCCCGCTCGAGCGGACAGAGGCCAAAACCTTGGAAAATCTGGAAAAATAAAAACATGATCGAATGGCAGCTCGATCCCCGTCATAATCAGCGAAGTGGCAATCTTCGAAAGCTTTATCAACCAAACTTCTCTGAAAAGGCTATTGATTCGGGTTGGGATTTCGCAATCCTATAACACTCATAAGTCTTCACTGAAATAAAAAAGCGAATAAAATCATACAACTCAAACAGAAAGGTTTTGGTCAAACCGGGCTTTTGGCAACGAAATAACCTCTAACTGTGTATTTAACAGAAGTGGAACGCAGGCACTGAATTTCCGTACATGGTCAAATCAGGGGTAACAGGTCATAGAGGTAACTGATAAAACCTAACAAGAGAATTATTACAACAATAAATAGAGACTTAGCATACTATTTGTCTGAGAATGGCACGCACAATTGAGTTTACACGGCTTCGATCGTATCAATCTCAGCACCAGACAGATTACAGATGGAGCCGCCAACCCATCAATATCATCATCCAGGCATATAGAGAAGACGTTGAAAATACCAACAGGCCAAACCTCGCCACGCCTCAGAATTCAGACCCTACTTCAATACAAGTCTCAGAATACATGGATAGACATGTTAGGCAGAAACCATAATGCAAATGGGATCGGAGGGGAACACTCGTACAGTTCTCTACACTTACCTAATAGACATATGCAGTAAAAATTAATTTCCTTACATTTGTTTTTATAAATTCAAGATCCAGACATAACAAAAGAAATGGGTGGCTTCAGCACTAGAAACATCAAAACGAGACTTGAGCCAAGCTGAATGCATGGGAAAGGGGCGTCTGCACCACTAAAATTGGTTGCCTCAAATAATCGTTTGCAAAACCAAAAAGAAAAACAACTTAGTCTAATTCCTTGGGTCTCAATCATTTTTTAAAACAACTCTTGGCTCAACACCAAATTTTATTTTTCTTATGGTTTTTGTTCTATTATCTTTGGCAATTGAACCATGAGAGAAACCACGGCCAGGGATAAATGGAAAAAGGGCAGAAAATTAAAACAGAAATAATATAGAAAGACTTTTATTCTTATAGTTAAAACAGTGATATTTCAAATTTCAAAAAAATATTTACTACGAGTCTATAACACATCAAGAACAAGAATTATTAATTATTATTCGCCATTAATCAGATAATTTGAATGATCAACAACACTTCATTAGCACTTAACACGCAGGGACTCATTTTAATACTTTGTATCTAAGTCTTCCATTGTTTGATACTCTATTTTTTTGTCTGTTAAAAAGAAAAGTTTGAGGCAATGAATTGAACTTACGTGTTTCTCAGTAAAAAAAATACAATTGGGAAGTGGGTGGCAGGGGAGGCAGAGGGAGGGAGGGAGGTGGCAATGGTGATGAGAAGTGG